AAAAATAATAATAATAATAAGGCACTGTATTCAGAATAAAGTGGGGCTCGGTGCCTGTGGCTCAAGCGGCTAAGGCGCCAGCCACATACACCTAAGGTGGCAGGTTTGAATCCAGCCCAGACCCGCCAAACAACAATAATGGCTGCAACAAAAAACAGCCAGGCGTTGTGGCGGGCATCTGTGGTCCCAGCTACTTGGCAGACTGAGGCAGGAGACTCGCTTGAGCCCAGGAGTTGGAGGTTCCTGTGAGCAGTGAAGCCATGACACTCTACCCAGGGGCTCAGCTTGAGGCTCTGTCTCAAAAAAAAAACAAAACAAAATAAAGTGGAATAAAGATGCATACGTCATTTAAAAACGAAAAGATACACATACAATTTTTTGCTATGGTTTGAAACATTATGTTGGTAAGTTTGTTTTCATTTTGAAGACAAACATGTTTAATTCATTTAAATGAGCAGTTAAATCCATTAAAAATGCTGTATCTGTAAGTCAATTTTTATTGTCAACTTTTGGCCCAAATTTGTTTTTTTTTTTTTTTGAGACAGAGTTTCAGTTTGTTGCCCTGGGTAGAGTGCCATGGCATCGATGCTTTTAAGGAATTCCTGGAATTGGTGATGATTTAATTCCTTGACCCTTATTATATTCACAGTCTTGATGACGAGTTACATGACATTATTCATTTTTAAAGATTTTGTGCATAAATTTTTTTTTCTTTTTCTTTTAGACAGAGTGTCATGCTGTGGCCCCAGGTAGAGTGCCCTGGCATCATAGCTCACAGCATCCTCAAACTCTTTTTTTTTTTTTTTTAAGAGACAGAATCTCACTTTGTCACCCTTGGTGGAGTGCCCTGGTGTCACAGCTCACAACAACCTCCAGCTCCAGAACTTAGATGATTCGCTTGTCTCAGCCTCCCGAGTAGTTGGGACTACAGGGCCAACACAATCTATTTTTAGTAGGGAATAAGGTCTTGCTCTTGCTCAGGCTGGTCTCAAACTCCTGAGCTTAAGCAATCCACCCACCTCAGTCTCTCAGAGGGCTACGATTAGAGGCGTGAGCCATCATGCCCAACCTAAACTTTTCTTTTTTTTTTGAGAGAGAGCCTCAAGCTGTCATCCTGGGTAGAGTACTATGGCATCACAGCTCACAGCAACCTCCAACTCCTGCGCTCAAGTGAGTCTCCTGCCTCAGCCTCCCAAGTAGCTGGGACCACAGGCATCCATCACAATGCTCGGCTGTTTTTTGGTTGTAGCCATCATTGTTGTTTGGAGGGCCTGGGCTGGATTTGAACCCACCACCTTAGGTATATGTGGCTGGTGCCTTAGCCACTTGAGCCACAGGCGCCGAGCCT